TAATATAATATAATATAGCAGGTTTCTACATTTGCTTAAGTAGTCTTTTCCCTGTTTCTTAGTATTCTTCCTCCACAATTTTTTGGACCACCTCAGAAATATCCAGGTTTTAGTCTAAAACATCAATAGGGATATGTTGCTGTAGACAGTAGCCATTGTACTTTCTTCTACAAAAGTGAATATTCATCAGCTAGACAGAATCCTAACATAACTGCATGGAGGGTTCCCTCCTCACTCAAACCCTCTGGGTGAGGACCAGCATCAGGACCCTAAATAGAGCAAGGACAGGCTCCAGGGAAGGGGGAAAAGATGGTGCCTTTGTCATTCACAACTGAGTCTATATTGAGACAGGAGAGGCATTTGCTTTTATGGTGTTAATAGAAACACACTAAAACTTGACAGTAATTCTTCTATTGGTCGACCCTGTCTCCACATATCCTTCTTGGTAAAGAAGATGGGTTTTGACATTTTATTTAGGAAGATGTGAGGCTGCAGCATAACAAGACATACAGAGTACCAGCCAGCCATGCCCTGCCAAGTCTTTAATCACCTTTACTCATTTGCAAATTCTGAAACCCTCTGAAAATATTCTAAATTACAAGCTTTAATCAACTCAGCATCTTGTTAAGTTTGTTTCTTGACCCCTAACACCAACATATCTACTTTGCTAAGTGTGAAGAGATTCTGACACAGGTAGCCCCATTTTGAGAAACACTGCCTAGGACTTTTCAAATGCCATTTGAAAATCACACTGTGTCCCTCAAGAGCACCTTTTAAAATACATTTAGTTTTAAGTGATAAGTTAAATGTTCACATTCCTAAAAGAAGACAGTAATCCCAAAGGAAACAAACCTGGATGTATCTCATGACATTTTCTCTGGCTTCTTTTCCAGGATATGCTGTCCCTAATGCCACCACACCTGTGTCTGCAGCCCAGCTCAAACAAGCAGTGACTCTTGGACAAGACTTAGCAGCATATGCGGCCTATGAGGTCTACCCCACCTTTGCAGTGACTGCCCGCGGGGATGGATATGGCGCCTTCTGAAGATATTTTTAACTTAAGACTAAGACACACAAAACCACATAGGAGAAATAAACCTCTCAGTCCTCTAGTGCTCATAAGTAATACCTTTCCTAAAGCAATGCCTTTCTGGAGACTGTATTGCTTACACTAATTGCAGAATCATGAAATGAGAACAGCATTCTTAAATGAAATCAAATACTAAGGAGTCCTTCCTTTAACACAAAGCTGAAGAGCTATTGCCCCAAGAGTTGTTCTTCCAAGGTTCCTGAGTGTCCTGGGAGTATGTTTACAAACCATGATGGATCAAGTGGAGAGAGATCTTTTAGCCAGCAAGAGTTGGGGTGAGCAGACCTGGACAGTCAATGACAGGTAAAAGTAGCAAGGAAACCCCAGAGCCTTAACGCCTGGCTCACAGCTGTTTCTGCATCACACAAAGTCACAGGTGCAGAAGGAAGTAGGAGAAATGAGCTCACCATTGTCCACTATGTGGGGCATGATCTGAGCTCATGAAAGACTGTCTAAGATTTTATGTATTCAGCATCACTTCAGTCTGAAAATTCCATCCAATCAATTTGCCATAGATCAGGATCTTCCTGTCCCCTGCAACCTCTGGGGACTTCCTAGAAATTTATATTGTATGTTGCAGATATGGTTGCAACAAATCCAGGCCATGTTATCTATTCAGCTCATTAGTTCCCTACAAACCCTTCTCAAGGATCCCTATAACTCAATGCCAATATGAGATAACTTTCTCATTTTCAATATTTAGTGTCCACTTTGATTTATTTTCATCTCAGACTCCTTTGGCTATGCTCTAATATCATTTAAAAAAAAAAGTATATCAGATCTATAGAGTATCACTTGGAATATTTTTTCCTGTTCAGTAAATTGACTGGAAAGTATTTCAAAGAAAAGGAAAGATTTGTTCTCAGTTTTTAGAATCTTTTTGCAGCACCCAGGTCATCATCCAACATTTGGAGACAGTTATATTAACTTAGGGTTAACCTTAGATTACCTAACCCACTTACATTAAATCTGCCAGGAAGTCCTCTCCCTTTCTTTCTTTTTACTTTCACTAAGTATTAGACAGTTTCACCATACTTGAGTCCTTCCGCCTTGAAACTATCATGGGAAAGCTTACGTGCCTCATGCTGTTAGAAACTGTTTCTTCAGACACTCAACAAGGGTGTCATTTGCCAAAATCCCCTTGATTCTTGGGGATCAAGGGACATCTGACTTGGGGTGGGGGGGAAGTAGGTGTTATAGAACTCAGAACAGAGGGGAGGAAAAAGCATCACTTTCTTGCTGTATTTGTAAATGAGTGCTTTGCTCAAAACAGAAATAACCAAAGTCAACACCAAATACTCATTACCACTTCTTCAGTCACATTAGTGGTATGAAATATATATATATATGTGTGTGTGTGTGTGTGTGTGTGTATAGAATAATATATATAATACATTTTTTAAAAAAAATACCACACTATAATTTCCACTTTTAAAAATTCTTGCCCTTTATAACATTCTACAGGATTTAAGCAAAAACTTAAACACTTAGGCACAAAAAACATAAATACAAAGGCCCAGAAAATTCAATTCCTTCAGGGAATTCTGTGAACCAAACTCAGGACAGATTCAAATCAAAGTCAGATAAATTTCAACCACAATTAAAAGTCCTGGTAACCTTTCCCCTCTGGTACTTCCAATCAGAGATGAGAAGCTTCGAACGTACAGCCGAAGCTCTGACAGGCTTCATGATTTCTATTTTCCATTTAGCTGCTCATATTCTAGAGGACAGTTTTCAAACTTGGCTGCATATTAGAAGCACCTGGAGAGTTTTTGAAAGTGCTAATGCCAAGATCACACCTCATACCAATTAAAGTAGAATGTCTTGGAGCGAGAGCCTGGCATCAATATTTTTTAAAGATCCCTAGGTGAGTTAATGTGTAACTAAGTTTGAGAACTTTGTATTTCTACTCCTTTACTTCTTTTTTATTTTAATTTCATTTTCATTAAACAGAAAAACGCAAGAGAAAAATTGTCTAAGTTCAAACAAATAACTGAAGCATCTTTTTACATGTATCCATCTCATAAACAGTATGAATTTGAATGTAAGTCATATTGGCCCAAACTAACTCTAAAACTGAAAAAGTAAAATCTCCTCCTAAAGCAATGCTTAGACCCAAATTTACACTCTCCAATTTTTTATTCTCAAAATGAGTAATTGCATTGACATAGTAAGGGTCCAATGGGGGAGGCAAATTTTCACAGAGCTGAAAAAAAGCATTCCAATCCGTGGGCAAAAGTTTTGCTTTTCCTCAAAATCTTTGAAAATAAATAGAAAAAAAGGAAAATAAAAGGTTTTATCCAGACAAGTTGTAAATTTAATTAAAATGACAAGAAAATTAATTAATACAGAAACTTCTGTAAGAATCGTTATGCTGGATAAGCACATGATCGCTTTTTTAAAATAATAAGAGTAGAGAATTAACATAGAGTAACGACATAGTATCAAGGTGCATCATTTATTACTTCCAAGGAAAACCACAAGAATTCATGGCTTTTACCTCCTTAGGACTGATTTTATACATATGGGTAGATCTGGTTTTGTTTTTTTGCTAGTTTTACCTCATTTTAGTATTATCTACAAACTACTTTGAATGCTATTTGTTCATATTCATAGAAAGTACCAATGTTTACTCTTACTTTTCCCAAATTAAATAACATAGAGAAAGTCCTACTGAGTTTGAGACTATTAAGAAAATGATTCTAAAAATCAAATATAGAATCAAGAATTAATCTTACATAATCTTTGCATTTTTAGACTTAAGACCGGCATCTGTTTAACATCACTACCCATTTTTCTATTACTTCTTGACTGCTTCCTAATTCTTAATAGAAAAAAATTCAAATCAATCTGCCAAACAGATCATTATTTCTAAACCAATCTTTTAAAAATATCTAGTAAAGTAGAATGGAGTTTCTGAATTATGGAATTAATAGCTTATGGATCATTAAAATCAGCTCAATGTTACTTAGACAAGGGGAAATTGGTGAGAATGTTTATCCCTTACTGATAAACAATGTTGCCTTTTCACACTTGCTGTACTTGTCTTCCACCCCATGAGTATAGCTAGTAGAGTAGCCGGGGCCAATAGATGGTGTAACGGTTATGTTGCCAGACTCACATGTAGTTAACTGCAGTTTGAGTCTTGGACCCCGTGGCTTAAACTCATGCCAGGCATGTGTGTGTGTGTGTGTGTGTGTGTGTGTGTGCCCAAGATCCTGAGAGGAGAATGGAGGAGAAGGGATCATGGGCAGGCATTCTCTCAAGGGATGATTTCTCGCTTTCTGTGTCTCTGTCTCTCTCGTCTTTCTGGCAAGCACATGCACCCTATTGCAAAAATCTCTTAAAACAAAACAAAACCACCTTCAACTGCAACAAATAGAATTCTACTAAGTACTAGGCTAGCCTCTAACCAGGTAGCATACCACCCTAACACTGTAGTGGGGTAATACAACCCAACATGCTGCCAGAAAACTACCTCGTGTTTAGAAAATACTGGCTTTAGGGGCCAGCAGATAGCATAATGGTTACATCACTGGACTCTCATGTAATTGACCACAGTTTGAGTCCCAGACCCAGTGGCTTGAAACTCATGCCAGGCGCATGTTTGTGCATTCCCAAAATCCTGAGAGAATGTGGCATAGCCACCCCCCAGGGGTGATTTCTTGCTTTTTGTCTCTCTGGCTCACGCACAAATCCTATAACGAAAATCTCTCTCTCATAAAAAAGATACTGGCTTCAAAGATATCTGACAAAAAAGGACCTGTTTCCAAATCTTAATCCCTTTTTCAAAGGGATTAGAAATAAATTATATCTATGTATTGATAACAGTAAAGAAAACTAATTGTTTCACTTAAGTTTAAAAAAAACTTTCCCAATTATATAGATTAGCAAAATATTATATAAAAATACTTTTCAACTTATGTTAATTTTAAGTATATTTAAAATAACTCAATTTTATAATTTGGTCTTAGATAACCATGCCCCACTTAGACTCCATGGAGACAGGGAGATTCTCTGGGATGCCATTTTTGGAATAAGGACCAATAAGGCAACAATATTTTGCACAAATTTTCTTTGCATTCCAAGTCACAAAGTTTGATAAATTATTGAGAAACTCTAGCCCTATCCACATTTTTTTTTTGAGAGGTTTTCCCTATAGGGTGTGTGCACTTGCCAGACAGAGAGAGACATAGAGACATCACCCCCCAGGGTGGATGGCCACGCCACAATCCCTTCTCCATTCTCCTCTTGGGATCTTGGGCACGCACGCACACACGCCCGGACTGAGTTTTAAGCCACCGGGTCCGGGACGCGAACTGCAGTCGACTACATGGGAGTCCAGTGACAAAGCCATTATGCCAACTGCTGGTTCCCCCATCCACATTTTTTAAAAAGTAAATTATAACTAAAAGTGAATGCTGCGCCCAGTATTCACATCGAGCCATGATCATGTATACAGTCCTTGCATTCATGTGAAAGTTTGAGAAGGAGTATGAAAATGTATCTTAAAATTGTTCTGGAGACTTGGTACTTTTTATACCTTGTAGGTGTATGTTTGTATATTGTAAATACATCTGTTAGATAAAACTAAGTCTTAAATATAACATCATAAGAGAATTTCAGGATAAATACTTTAAAGAAAATAATCATAGCATAATTTATTAATTTCTGTCTACTTATTAGAAAACTGAAACTAGGCAACAAACATTTCCATCTGGCATACAATCATTGTCAACTGAGTTCTGTTAAACTGATTGACAAATTTGATATTGAAATTTTACTTCATTCTAGTAACATTCTGAAAATGCTCTAAGCCTTCCTCAGACATAGTCACAGAACATGTAAAGTATCCTCTAGGCTATTTGCCATCATTAAAACAAAGCAAAGCAAAACAAGCTATAGTGAGTGAAACAATTTGGTGAATGAGATTTTTCTAACTCCCACACACTCTTTACTTATGAGATAAAACATTTAAGATGTTTTAATTATGTAGAAACCGGTACAGTATATTCTTTTGTGTCCCCTAAATGTTCAAATTATAAAAGTCCACTTTCTTACAAAACTTATACAGAAAGTAGAATGTATAGGTTTAATAGATAGAAATGTATATCTTCTTTTTAAGAGGTATTTTTTGCCTTAGGGTGAGTGCATTTGCAAGAGAAGGAAATAGTGAGAGAGAAAGTAAGAAATCACCCCCTAGGAGGAGATGGCCATGCCACAATCCATTCTCTTCCCAGGTTCTTGGGCACACACACACATACACTCAGCATGATTTTCAAGTAACCAAGTCTGGGATTTGAACCATGGTTAGCCAGGTGGGAGTCCAGCAACATAACCACTATGTCATCTTCTGGCCCATAGATAGCAATGCGTATCTTGAACATATATAGATTCATATATTGGAGTCTGAAAATTTTGTGTCCCCAGTTTACCTCTGATTGAAGGAACGTTAAAAGAAAATCTTGTACTCTAACTAATAATGAAAAGAAAACCATAACCAATCTAGAAAAGAAAAATAATTCAAAAACCAAAAGCCTTCATTCATTCAAATGCACCTGGAATAAAATATGAAACACTTTTGCATCTACCTCACTCTTGCAGAATTTTCTCCTATTTTGAGAAATCAAGAATAGGCCTTGTGCTCTCTTCACATAGATACTTTATCAAAGGGAAGGGAAGACACCAAGGAACAATACCTTAAAGAAAGTAGGCTACCTGCAAGAACTTCTTGGAGACTGGAGAAATCAGCTCTCCTTGGATTTGCCAGCGTGACTCCAGAGTGACAATACCCCTGGTTTGCCAGGCCAGTTCTGGCTTACATCAATTGTCCTATTATGAATCTTAACAACAGCCCCTCTTACTCTCTAATGAGTCCAGTGTAGAAAATAAATCCCTTCATCTTTTTTTTTTTAATGTTGTAAAATTGACTTTGTCCTTCAGATGGCATAATGGTTACATTACTGGACTCGCACATAGTTGACTGTAGCTCGAGTCCTGGACCTAGTGGCTTAAACACACACCAGGACGTGTGTATGCTCATGCATGCCCAAGATCTTGAAAGAATGGAGAAGGGATTGTAGTGTGGTCATCCCCCCCTGGGGAGTGATTTCTTGCTTTCTGTCTCTCTTTCTGGCAAGTGCACATGCCCTATAGCAAAAAATCTCTCTTAAAAAAAAAAGAATTGGCTTTGTCCTCTCCAAAGCAGATAAGGTTTGAACCAGAGAGGTAGGGTAGGATCATAGTGAATCAAGAGCAATATATCTCTTTTTCTAAAGTCACCCTCAAACCACTGCCTATCTGGGGTTTCTCTACCCAACCCATTTCTGGTCCTTCTTTT